AAATTAAAATAGGAAAAATATGCAATATGAAAATAATTGAAGACAAAATGTGTTTTACTGAGAAAAAACAAGATTTGGGGAGTCGTCTTATAATCAGGGTCGTCTTATATTCGGGCCAATACGGTAATATAATATATAATATAATAAACTTCGTCCTACTCTGTCTCTCTGTGTTCCTGTAGGAAGCGTGCGACACACAGCGCGGGGAAGCGGAAGGGCAGCCAGAAAGACCTGCGACCTCCTGACCTCTGGATCCATCATGAGGAGATGGAGCTGAAGAACATGGAGAAGCCCTCGAGCTCCGCCCCCTCGGGCCGCGAGTCGCCCACCCATAGCTGCCAAGAGATGGCGCCGGTCAGCCACAGCCAATCAGAGAGCCAGATGGGCAGCAAGAGCAGCCACTCAGGTGAGGCGTTCATTGATTCGACCGCGAGCGTGTGTGTGTGTGTGTGTGTGTGTGTGTGTGTATGTGTGTGTGTGTGAGTGTCAGCGGCTGAAGGTCATGTGGTTCTCTTCTTCAGGTGCAGACGGGGATGATGCTTCCAGCAGCATTTCCACATTAGAGCGATCGTTAGCCGCCCGCCGGGCCACGCGCACCAAGATGATGATTCCCATGGACTCTCAGCCCAGCAACACACGTGAGCCACTGCATTCAAACATTTAACACCTGTTTACAACAAAAATCATAACTACAGTGATAACTATAGATATAAATATAACTGTAATTACAACGAGAATAATAACCATAACTAGAACCATAACTATAACAATAGCAAGAACTATACCGAAAACAGTAACAATACCTATAACTATAACAATATCAAATAACTATAACTTCAATGATAATGGTAACAACAACTATAACTATAGCGATAACAGTAATATTAACTACAGCAATAACTATAACCGTAACTATAACAATAGATATAACTATAATTGCAACAATAGTGATAATGATAACTAGAACCATGACTATAACCATAACTTTAACAATAATGATAACTATAACAATAACTGCAACGCTTATGATGACGATAACCATAACTTTAACAATAACGTTAGCCATAATGATAACTATAACATTACTTATAATGAAAACTATAACATTAACTGATATAAAATTAATTTAAATATAACAATAACTTTAACAAGAATGTTAACGATAACTATAACCATAACTAAAACAAAAACTATTACAATAGCAAGAACTATAACAATAACAATATCTATAACTATAAAGATAACTATAACAGTATCAAATAACTACAACGTCAACGATAATGGTAACAACAACTATAACTATAGCGTAAACAGTCATATTAACCACAGCAATAACTATAACCATAACTGTAACAATAGATATAACTATAATTGCAACAATAGTGATAACGATAACTAGAACCATGACTATAATCATGTTTTAATTAGATATAATTATAATGATAGCTATAATAATAACTGCAAAGATAATGATGACGGTAACTATAACTATAACCATAACTTTAACAATAACGATAGCCATAATGATAACTATGACAATAACAATAACTGATATAAAATTAATGATAATGATAACTTTAAATATAACCAAAACTTCATAACTAACTATAGTAACTATAGCAATAACGAAAACTAATGTTAACATATACCTATAACTACAATGATAACTATAAAAGTAACTATAGCAATTACGATAACTATAACAATAGTAATGGCAATCATGAAAATGGTAACCATAACTATAACTAACTGCAACAATAATAACACAGTAACTATAATCAATAACTATAGCGATAGCTATAACAATAACTAAATATAACTATAATTAACTATAACAATGAAATTACTTTATAACCATAACTTTAACAAATACGCTATGACAATAACAGTAACTACAGCAATAATGATAACTATACTGATAGCAATAACTATAACCATATCCGATAACAATAATAACTATTACCATATCTATAACAAAAGCGATAACAATGATTATACCAATATCTATAACAGTAACAATCGGTTTTTATTCTAGGCATTCTGCAGGTTTTTGTTGTCTGTCGCTTTAAATAATGAAGTCAGGTGGATTCTCAAATGTTTTTTGTTGCCGTTAAAAAACTTTCTAATAGTGATTCCAGTGATATTGCTCCTCTGTGTCATTGTCATTATAGGTGTGATGCAGACTCTGCTGTTCCCTTTGAGTGAGATTGAAACATTGTGGTTATATAGTTATCGTTGTTGCTGTGAACGGCCCTTCAGTGTGTTTTAGACCTGATAGTGACAGACTGAGCTCCTCCATTATGATCACACGCTGACCTCATTTATGGCTTTGAGCAGAGAGACGGATCCCAACAATAAGCCCTGAAATCACAGGCAGAAGATGCTTTTCTGAAGCTGACTCTGCAGAAGTCACAGTGTGATTCACACACGGAAGGAATTGAGGCCGAAATGGGATTTCCAGCAGTTATTCAGTGCTGTGTGTGTGACCCTGATTTCCTAATCCAGTTTACCCAGTTCAGCCCAAACCAGCAGAGAGACTAGCGTGTGCGTTCCTGAAGTGTGTCTGAGTGTGAAAGGAGGAGAAGCGAGTGAATATGAGCCGTATGTCTTATTGAAAGGGTTTGTTGCATGTGTGTTTTGGGTGAAGATCGTCACGGGCTTTGGTTCTTCATGTGACGTGACGTGCTCCTCGCAGACGTTTCGCTCGGCTGCGTCTGATTCCCGCCGGGGTTTGAGCTGCGTCAGTCGCGTGAGCATCTCCTCTCTGACCTCCTGTCGCGATTCCTCACCCCGCCCTATCCTGCCATTTATTATGCACCTCCTTCCTGCTCCCAAACCACATGAAAGAAGCTTCATCTCCTCCTCTGGGAACAGAAAGCACGGATTGGGAAAAATGGCGATCGCTGGAAGGATGTGGAGCTTTGAGAGGAAATAAGAGGGTGGGATACGAAAGTCACGAGTGAAAGAGTTCAGATAGAAGAAACTAATCACTGCATAATTAACAAAATTACTCTAACGAGGCCTTCTGACGCGTCTGATGAAGAGAAACTGTATGTAGATGCTCTCCACACAAACCATGATCAGTTCCTCATTTTATTTGAATCTGGATGAACTCAAAGCAAAAGATCAGGTATTAACTGTAATGATAGCAATAACACTAAAAATAGCTATATCTTTAATGATAACTAGAACACGAGCTATAACAATAATGTTCATGATAACCATAATTGTAATAATAACTATAGCTATAACTATAATGATAACTTTAACAGTAACTATAGCAATTACGATTACTATAACGACAACTATAACAATAATTTTAATGATAACCATAACTGTAACAATATATAGAGCTATAATTATAATTATAGCTATAACTAAGATAACTATAACTAACATTATCCATAATTTTAACAATAACTATAGCTATAAATATAATGATAACTATAGCAACTACGTTAACTATAATGACAGCCATAATAACCATAATGATATCCATAAGTATAACCATAGCTACAACTATAACTATATTTACTACTGTAACTATAAGAATAACTATAACTATAACTACAGTGATAACAATAAGTAAATAACTTTACCAATAATGATTACTATAGCTATAAATATAATAATAACTCAGCAGTATCTATAGCAATAGCATTTAACAATCTTTTTGCTCTTTTACCGACAAATACATACAAAATTATGTCAAAATACCCGAAAAAAAGCTGTCGGTTAAGTGAAAGTAAACAGTGGAGAAAGAAATCGGATGTGTATCATTATAATGGATGCATTGTCTCTTAAAGTGACCGCGCCTAATTTACTAGCTGCTGTAATGTTAATCCAAGAAAATGAAAGAAAGAAAATCACTCACTGCTCTTGACTGAATTACTTTGTAGTTTTAACAAGAATTAATCCAC